AACTTATTAAAAGTAATTATGATGAATTTGTGAAAAATATGGGCTCTCGAGTGAGTAGCTTTAAAAAAATATTGAAAGTATATAATAATATTTAAAATTTAAGATATTTTCAAAATTGAGAATGTCAACCTAAACAAAGAGGAAAATAAGGAGTTTATGGATTTTAACAAAATGAAAGGTGGGATGATAATCATAATTGAAGATGTTAAAATCAAAACACACAAAAGTCATACATATGAAATGAAGAAAAATGTTGACTTCATATGGCTCATACACGACATTTAAGTCATTTTTATGTAAGCGTAACGAATATAAAGAGTGTTGACTGCAAAAGTAATGAAAATTTCTCTTTTTTTACATGTAAATTAATATTTATAAATAAAAATTATGTTGCCAACACTATTCTTTATGTAAAAAAATAAAATTATCATATTAACACTTAATAATCTTATTCTATTTAAAAAATTCACTAGAAAAAAGATATAAAGTTAGTTTGTATATAAACTAAAAAAGTATTTATAAGAATAAAAAATTTATTTATTTTTATTTGAATTAGAAGACATTATATATGAAGTATTTAATGTATTACATTAATAATATTATTTTACCAAAAAATTATTTAAAATATTAAATGCAAAAGATTATAAATTAAAATATTAATAGTTTTGGATATTATTGATAATAGATAATAGAATTTTTGTATATGAACTAAAATAGAATTTTAGCTGCAAATTTGCTAAAGAATAGCTATAGAATAATGAAGACATTAGCTACAGATTGGTTACGAAAAAGTTAGAAACTTTAGCTATAGATCAGCTATAGAATAGCTACGGACTAAAATAAAACTTTAGCTGCAAATTTGCTATGAAATAGCTATAGAATAAATGATGACATTAGGTACAGATTAGCAACGGATTTGCTACGACATAGTTAGAGACTTTAGCTACGGATTAGCTATGAAATAGCTACAGAATAGTTTGAGACTTTTGCTACGGAATATCTATGAAATAGCTACAGAATAGTTTGAGACTTTTGCTATGAAATAAGTTACGAATAATAATTACCTACGAACTTGTTATTTTGTTTATTGAAAATCAGTTAGGGATTAGTTATGAATTAGCTATGGACCTAAAAATTAATAGCAGAATAGCTACAAACAAAGTTACAAATAATCTCTAGCTAATTAGCTACAGAATTGTTATTGTGCTTATTGAATAATCAGCTATGGATAAGCTATGGATTAGCTATAGCTTAGCTATGGAATAATTCAGTAGCTAATTCGTAGCTAATTAGTGACCTGCTTTACGCTACGAAAAATTTTGTAGCTAATTTGTAGCTAAATTTATTAGTTAGGGATTAACTACGAATTAGCTAGAAAATTGTTTGTAACTAAATATGTTTTTTCTTGTAGTGAAATTTCTATTTCCTTCATTATTGAAATTATCACGACCTTTATTTTCTGCATCTCAACTGGACCGTGCAACATTGTTGAAATTCACTTGACTTTTCATTGCTTCTTCAGCTCATTTTTTTGTTTTCTCCAATATTCTACTTACGTGGCTTTCAACACTTTCTTGTAGTTCTGCAACCGTTATGATATATGTGTCATGAGACTCAATTATTGTAGTCATCACGTGATCAAACTTCATCGGCATAGTGTGTAGAATTTTCTCCACTATCTTACTTTTAGGGATATCTTTTTTGTACACTCTCATCTTATTGACAAGATTTGTTATCCATGAAAAATATTGTTTTACAGTTTTTGAACTGGACATTTCACATCTTTCATATTCTCAACTCATGGATTACAATTTGAATTTCTAAACTTTCTCTATTCTTTTGTATGATAATTTTAAAATGTCTCACGCTTCTTTAATTGTTTTGACATTTGCTATTTTTCTAAAAATTAAACGATATACACCTTAGTAAATTTGTGATAGTACCAACTAGTCTTTCTTTTGAGCAGAAGTATCAGCTCCGTGTTGATAAATTTAACTTAATAACTACTAACTATTCTTAATCTTTTACAACTAACACAGAATGATTATCTAACTAAAATGATATCAAAACAACTTGTTATTTTGTTGCACCGTGTTTAGCTTATCAAGTTGCAATTTTTAACAATTCAAGGTAATTATTATTAGTGTATTTTTTTATGGCTAGAAATCATGTGCAGCTTTAATAACCTGTTTGCAGCTGCTAAGTTTATTTTCTAACTGCATTGAAAAGCTGTTACTCATGGTGTTGAGTTTTCTGCGAGATTAATTAATATCGAATCCCATTTCCACTTTGATTGTACTTTAGCTTCTCTCTCTCTCTCTCCCTCTTTTTCACTTTTCAAATCCCATTTAATGGAAAAAAAAAAAAAAAAGATGAGAAGGACCATAGTGCCGAGCAAGGAATGAAAATTTCCACTAACCCAAGTATATCAACAATTTAATGCACTTTAACAGATAACATTAAAAGTTTACCAAAAACTTGCTTATGTGTCGTGGTCCAACCATTTCAGCATCACAAAATTACAAAAGCAGCAGAAGAGAATAATAAAGCCCTCCATTCTTTCTATGGTTGTAGATCGAGAGAGCCTGCTGACTTATCTAAAGAAGGGACAAAGCCTTAAAGGAAAAAGAAATAATAAGAAGTGACGTTGTCCCAGGCAAACCAGTAGACAAGCAAAGCACACAGAGATGTTTAAAAGTTTTAGTAAAGGACAATAATACACGTGGTCCATTTTTGTTCTCTGTACAATGCCTGAATTGGAATTTAATCATCTTGCTTTAGCCCAACCCGTTTGGCATCTCTATTATTCAAGCCCGGACCTTTCTGGGCTTTGTATTTACTCCAAAGCATCTAAGCTACCTTGCTGTCGCAAAAAAGAGAAATTTACCATCATTACGATTCATGTGATCCCACAAGGCCAGAAGGATATTAATGCTTATTTAATATCAATCCGAAAGGACACTGAAGCAAATTGGAATATGATTTAATTTGATATTGTCGATCAATGTTTTCATATCCATACTCAAAATTTAGCATTAAATTAGTAATATAAAAATTTTACAGGCGATGATAATTGGACAAAATTAAACACTTTCCAATAACTATTAGCTTTAATCGACTTTATGTTACGCTTTTATTTACTTTTGTGTGTTTTTCCCCGCTTTTATATGAAACTTTACAGGTTTTGTGTTCAAACCTATGATTGTAAACGGCCAGAGATTATTGATGAGGCTTCACCAGACAGGAAGACATTCAAAGATTTTACTTTTAACAGCTTCCTACCACTTTAAAATCTTATTCCGACCACCACCAACTACATTTAGTATTGCCTGCTGTTCTATTCAATTAACTTAGAAAAGCTATCATTTAGTGACATATTTTCGCCTCACTTTGAAACAGCGTTATTTCCCCGATGGGCGTGACGAGGGAGTTTAAAACAACTACTCTCGCGGCGTAGGCCGGAATTTGAAGGTTAATGAAACTATTATATAGTGGTCATCATGATCTTCTCTACAATAGGGTGTTTCGCCGCCGTTATTTAATTAAACATGACTTGCCTGTGAAGCCCTCCCATTTAAAACTAGAGTACATAACAGAAGCGTCATAGTATACAAAGCAGATTCTAATGTTTACTACTTTTGTTTAATCCAATTTTATGTTACTAGCCTGACATTTGAAAATTCAATACTTTTACTGCATGCATCTGTTCACACACACCTATGCTTGCAAGGAAATATGTAATGAAAAACTCCCATAAATGATTTCAAAATTGAGACAAACGTTTACGATCAATCACGTTTGAATGAGAAATTATAGTCGCTAAGACGACTCCAAATTAAACTTCATATATGATTCTCGTATATATTTATGTACGTATGTTTGTAAGCATTATCAACATAAGATAAAGTTTCTCTCTCTCTCTGTCTGTCTCTCTCTCTGAATATATATATATATATATATATAAATTTCAAATTCTATTTTTCTCACATTTTTTCATATAAAGTAAGCATAAAATAAATAAAATTTTAGGAAACGGCATTATTAACATTACACTACTTCAAGATAAGACAAGACATGAGTATATACAATGGTGATATGTGAACTCATGCACATGTGGTATCTCTAGTCCTAGTTATCGTGCCCAACAAATTCGACGTGTTTTTCTTTTGGGTTGCCTTAATGGCCATTCAAGTACAACGATTACATCATAACTGCCACTTTCGGAGCAATGTTTGCAGTTCATGTTGAGTTTATTACTAACTGATCAAATATGTTAAAGACGGTCAAACATGTTAACTAAACCAGCTAAAAAGTTTTTTTAAAAAATCATTAAATATGGAATTTGACGCTCTTGATTTCTATTTTAAAGTGTATTCGATTCCGATTCCGATTCCAATTCCATTTTGCGGCTTTCAAATTCCAAAGGACACAGAAACCATCCTCGAGGGTGTTTGCATCTTTCCTTCTTAAATCAAATGGGGTAAAGAGAGTCAAAGATGTTAGTTGGAATGGCTACAAAATTTAATCTAAAGTAATTGAATATTGATTCAAAAATTATATTAAGGCTGTCAAATGTGACAGTAATAAGCTCCTTCACGCAGCCACGCACTAAACCGCCCGCATCTGTGCGGTACAAAGGTCTTGTGAGATACTTCCAAAAACATAATGCCTCAAAGAAATATTTTATTAAAAGTTAAAACTATGGTTCGCACTCGACAAATCTTAATATTATTTTTATTATCTTATTTTACACTTTTTTTTATCTCTTTCACAATCTACTGTGCTGCAAATTGTAAACCAACCTAGTGCCAGACAGAATATCTAGCACGTGCACAAAAGTACACCCGCATAGTGCCTATTGAAAGAGATAACTACAAACTTCGATCATTGATCACATCAGGAGTCCAATTCTTACCAAAATTAGACACCCTAAACATGAACGGTTTCCATCATGTGCACTTTCGACGTCTTTTCAATTTGTCAAGATACATAGTAATGATAGTATAAACATGGTTTCCATACTAAGGATAAACAATAATCGATATGACAATTACATGGCGCACCCATTTGAAGTTGAATTTATTTCCCAGACAAAAAAAGTTAAAAGCGCATAACTGTGTAACAAAGCCACGGCCATAAAGAAGGAAAAAAGGAACATAATAAAAAAGAAAAGAAGATTAAAAACAAGTACTTTGGAAATATCGAATCAACAAATACAGATGCTTTTGGGTTTGGTGGTGATAATAACAACCCTTTTCTTTCCACCTCTTATTACAGATCTTATGCACGATTGCATGTTGTTGTTATTGTTGTACGTTGCAGTTCCACTAACGACGACGTTCTGGGGTCCAGTGCGGTAAAGCTGGGCTAAAATGAACAGAGACCACCCTAGAGTCGAGTAGTTCCATTATGGGTGTGAAGCTCACACACCTTGGCACTTTGTATTGGTTAATGGACGCACCTCGCGAGATAGCGTAATCCATTAACTCCTCAAACGTGCCATTCTTCACCACTCGTATCTCCAAAGGTCCAATAGAATTGTCTGCAACTCTTCCTTGTCTGTACACGGAGTTCAAGGACTCTTCCATCACTAAGCAGCACTTGTTCAACACTTCATCTGTGGGTGGGTAAGATGAATCCTTCATCAACAGTTCCCAATAAATCACGTAATGACCCGGAATAGATTTAGTATCAGCAAAGCTCGTGTACTCCGCCACGCTGGTATTGAATTCCTTAAGCAACTCAGAGGCATTCTCAATTGCCTTTTGCAGTTCCGCTTCATCTGTCTTGTCGGAATCAATGCTCAACAAGACGTTCTTTCTCCTCACGAAGCGGAACTGCGGGACTAAGCTGTGGAACCCTGTTACTTGCAGGATATCACCCACTCTGTAGCGGCAAAGACCAGAATAAGTTGTGATAATGAGCTCGTAGTATTTATCAAGTTCAACGTCGGCTAGGTCAACCAAACGTGGAGGTGAGTCCTTGGAGAGGGTTACAGGGATCGAGTCATCGTGGGGTAAAAACTCGAAGTAACCCATGTTTGGCAAAATGGTGTAAGAAACCTCGGATGGATCGGACATAGGCTTGAGGTTAAGGCCAAAAAAACACTCGGAAGACGCGTACATGGTACAAGGCTTAGGTAGCCCCCCACTGTAATAATCTAGTGTGGGAATATACTGAGCCATAGCACCCGTGACTATGACGTCAAGGTACTTTGTGTTGGGCCAAATCCTGGTGATTATACGTTCCCAGTTTTCACCTGAACATTCCTTGGTGATGAAATGTGCGAGTTCAGGGTCAGGTTTCAACATTTTAGCCATGCATTCCTTGATGGAAGGATCAGTGACCTTGGGGTTTAGGGTTCCGGTGGAGATGTCATGGGCTAGTTGTGACCAATTGAGCTGAAGGAATCGAATGGCTCTGAGAAGGCCAGAGGCAAAAACAGCTCCAACACGAAGCACTTGGTGGCGCATGATGAGACCACAAAGCATCTGAGTATACATGCTTTGGAAGGAATCGGGACAAAGGATTGCTTCGTTTGGGCTTGTCAGAACATTGTAAGGGTCAAATGGTCTTTTTCTGAATTGGTCGCTCTTGTAGTAGCTGGTCAACACTGGACGCGCCACTAATCCACCAGGTGTCTTAGTCTCTGCTTTAATGAACAAGAAATGAAGTGCCTTCCCTTTGTCCAAATCAGGCACAAATCTGCGGCATTAAATTTCATCATTAACTACAATTAAATTAAAATAAACGCTTAACTTAGCAAATAATGAAATGAACAAAAACGCACTGGTTCATCACAGGCATGAGGAGACTGTACAGCGACTGACGACGGTCCATCTCTTCAGAAATGGTTGGCATCAATTTTCTTTCGCCAGCAGATGTTCCAGAGCTGCAATATTTACATTTATTAAGCCAAATAATTTATGTACGATAATATTAATGCATCTTGAATTATGGTAATAAATAAAGACACAAACACACACACATATACCTGGTGAGAAACTCGGAGATAGGGCGAGAGCATAAAATAGGGGAACGGTCGCCGTTAGCAATGCGTTGAATATCTGGTTGAAGATCCTCGTAAGTGACAACGGGGATCTTGGACTTGAAAGTGTTGCGGTCGGTGGCTCCGTTGAGTTGGAACCGTTTCAGGTACTCTGTCTGGGCGTTTTGGGCGAGAATTTCAGCGAGGACCCTCACTTGGACAGAGTCAGGGTTTCGGGTTACTTCTTCGATGAACTGAAGAGCCTTTAAGCTCTTCTCATCAAGAGGAGCAGAGGATAGCTCAGATTCAACAGCCATGGTGAGTTCTTAGGATTGCAACGAGGGAAAGGGAAATGGATGGGTGAAAGGGGAAGGAGAGAGGGAGGGGGTATTTATAGCGCATGTGAGGGGAAAGGGTTTGTGAAATGTCAGAATCCAGGTCATGGGTAGCCACGTGGCAAGCCGAACCAAATAGTAGTTTTGGACTGATGCTGAGGGTTTGATGCTGGATCTGGGGGACAAAAGAAGAAACTAATTTTTGTTGTTAACTTGGGTAGTCGACATGTGGGCCACAAAACACGTAGGGATGGGGCTTTTATGGCCGACATGTGGGCCCGATGTATCGCCACGTCATCATTAGTTCTCCAAGCCTTCTCGTCAGCCTAACCACGCGGCCATTTCCTTGCAGGGTTTGTTCCTCTCCGAAAGCGATGGCTGCCGGCTCAGCCCCATCGCAGCCCATTTGCCTCTGTAAGAGACACCCCTAACTTAATTAACTCTCAAAGTCAAGTGTTCTATCATCACAATTGCTTATTCTCCATTAAGTAATCATTGACATTTTTATTTATAAATCTATGTCTATATACTATAATTATTAAATACTATTTCTTTTTTTCAGGGAAATGTTCGATTTATCTTTTTTTTCAAATATAAGTTATAATATATTTATTTTTTAGAAAAATGTATGTTTTGTGGGCTGAATATTTTAGAATAATACCAACCATCCAGTTCTAATGGAAGACCGCACGGATCACACGGGTCATACTTTGAATAACATGATATACTGTCACATACTTCAAGTCTTCAACAAATTACAATTTACATTAGAATATTATTATTAAAAAGTCAAATGTTTCATATGATAGATGGAAAGATCACCATATAAAAAAAATTCAAAATGATGGAAATCATTAACATGGGATAATTACATTAATTTTCTATGATTTTTTTTGTTAACTGTACTGGTTTGAAAACAGATTAAACCTATTCTCATTATTTTGTTGCTTTTAAGCGGAATTTATGTACACGGTTCAATACAAAGAATAAGAAATCAAGACCAAGTTTAACTGGGGAATTGCAAATGGAAGAGAATTAAGACATTTGATAAAAGATGGAGATTTGATGGGTTTGAGTTTTCAAATAACTACAACTTTGGTTTAAAGTTAGTGTCTTTAACTTCTTTACTAGAGATATTTTTTTGGTAAAAATTATGAAAATGAGCTTGAAGTTAGTTTCACTGTAATATGCCATTTACTTGTTAACTTTGGTTTTCTTTCTAATTTCATGATTTAAGAAATGGATAGAAGACACTAAAAGGAAGAAGGAAGGAAATAGTTGACATAAGAAGGGGAGGAAGAAGAATAAAAGATAATGACAAATTCTGCTAGCTAAAAATAGAGAGCAGAGAGAAAAATTATATCGTTGTTTTAAAAAATTAGATGATATTTTTAATTAAAAAAATTCTTAATTAAAATGAAAGAATTAAACTTACATAATTAAAAATTAAACAAATACAAAAAAAAAATTCAATATAACCATCAATGCGTGTTGAATAGTAACAATGAAAATGTAGATATATAGAAAAGTGAAAATAGAGGTTAAGTAAATGGTGGTTTTTTTTAATGTCATGACATAATGATGACGTTGGTTTCTACATCATCTCTAGGGAATTGTTATGTAATTATCATAGTATAATATATTATTTATAATGAAGAAGAATTATAAAATGAAGACAATCCAATATTGTTTTTCACTATGTTGTCCAAGGAATCCTGCGAAGCTATTGAGAACAGAACGGAGTAGCCATACTGGCAGCTGAAGTGTAAATGAGTCTCAGCCAAGGCCATCACTTTAAATTGTTAAGGCTTGATTTGTAAAAAGTAAATAATTATTATTTAACTTATTTATTTAAATAAGATAAATTCAAACATAATTCAGTTTATAAATATAAAAGATAAATACTTACGGTATAAAGAATAAAAATAATGTTAATATTTAAAACAGTAAAATAAAAATATACACACAAAATAATAAAAACTTTATACACAAGCTATTGATAAACTAATTAATTAGCAAAATTAAATATTTACATTACATGCAATAAAAAAAAATATATCTTAGTGTATTAGTTTCCAAATCAAAAAGCATACTTTCAGTATACAAAACAAATTTTTATTTGAAAATTTTTATTTATAAATTATTTAATTTATATTTATATTGTGTTTATATATAAATTATATTATCCCTTTATGTTTTAACATAAAAATTTTATACAAAAATTAAAAAATATTATATTCTAAAATTTGTAAAAAATATTATTGGATTTCGTACTATATCTACTATTATATTTTAAAATCTCACTTATCAATTATTTTTATTGAACATGTATTAACTATTTGAGTATAATAAGGAAGATGTTTTTCTAATCTTTTAAAAGAAAATTAATAAATTATGGAGTATTTTATAAAAATTTTTGAGATACCGTATAAAAAAAATTAATTAATAATTTTAGATATATATTTAAATAATAAATATAATAATATATATTTTTTATTAGTATAATTTTTTAAATATAACACCTTTAAAAAACTTTTGAGGCAAAATTTAGTTGGAAAAATGTCAACAGCATTGGACATATCTGTGTGTAAGTAGTCATGTCATGTACTGCATGATGTGATGCTGTCTGAGTAATTATGTACATTATCGTTTACGGCCAATCGGCTATAACTGCGCCTCCACACAACTAGGTGGGGTTGCCACCCGGCCGAACAAAATTACCCAGAGATAACCTGATTCTTCTTCTCTAAATCAAATGCACTTTTATTATTTTCAACTAATATTGATATATTATAAATATGCAAAATAAATTATTAAATATTAGTGACATTTATATTAATATAAAAATTAAATAATTTTATTAAAAAATTTTAAAAATAACTTATATATATGGTTACAAATTTTATAAAAAAATTTATAAAAAATTATTTAATTTTTATATTTATTTTCTACTTCTAAAAAAATTTCTTTATACATTCATTCAAACAAAATTATATCATACAAATTTCTAAATTTATTCATTTATTAAGTGCTCATGCAGAGAGGAACCGAACTCTCATTTCTAACATCTTATTTTACTTATAGAAGAAATAGTTTAGTGAATATATTATCTTTATATTACTGGAGAAAAATATTGATTTAATGTCATTATTACGTGAGAGAATTTATTAGCACTGTTTTTTTTTTATGATTCAAAATTTAATTTTTTTTCCAATAATTAAGTTTTTATCGATTACATTTGAAAAATGTACAATGGTACCCAATTAGAAAATAGAATGAGTAATTTATTAAAAGTGTCATGATTTTAATTTTTTCTAGAATAACAGTCATTTAAATAAGTACTTCCAAATTTTAAGTTTAACTTGAAAAAAAAATCTATTTGAATTTATTTTATCATTTTCGTAATTGTATTATTAAAGTTGTATTTACAAATTCTATATATAATTTCTCCTTGGATTTTAAATGCATGCTAAATCTTATTAATGTAATTTAGAAGTTAAATCTAAATTTGATTACAATTAAAACGTAATAATTTTTTTTATGTAAACAACATTTAAATATTTTTCAATAACTAATTAATAATTAATATTTTATAATTAAATTCTCTAATTTTTTTGTTGTAATTATTTTTTTTAATTTTTTATGAAAATGAGATAGTATCAAGTAGCTAGTCTTTCTCAGTGCATTGCAAAGACTTGAGATAAGGTCTTACTTTTGCTTTTTAAAGTCATGATAACAAGTTTGGACCACTTTACAAATGTATAGTGTGTAAAAGTACAATTCCCACTATTTATTTTTTTCAGAGAAAAACACAAATGATTCACGTGATTTTTGTTGGAATTTTTATTTTTTCTTTAAAAAATTATATATATATATATATATATCATTTTAAAAAATAAAATATCTCTAAAAAAATTTGTAATATGTTTCATGAATTAAAAAATAAGATTCTTTTAAAAAAAATTAATAAAAAATTACATCACAGAATATTTAAAAATATATATAAAACTTAACCCCAGTTTGAATAAAAGTGTTCTTGCCGTGGTCTTTCACGATTTGCTGTGCATTTATTTCAAACATGATTTTTCCAATGTCTTTTTAAGCAAACACACTGAAACGTCAATATCGAGAGCAAAGAAAAATGTGCAGAAACTATGCAAGATTAGAAGAATGACCTACGTTCCTGTTCAAAATAATCTCTCAGGATATGTCATAATGATTACGCATTAATAGAAATGAAATTTCTTGAACATTGACTGCACAACTTTTCTTCATATGGACGACAACGGTTGCTCGATGAATGGAAATACTCGTTCAGCTTCCATCACCCCCATCTTATCTTAACTCTAACTAAACTCCATGAAGTCACCAAGGTTTGACACAGTCAATCATGACGACATAACAGGGGCTAGATTTGATCCACAAATTAACACATTCCACCTTATCAGTTGGAACTCAGAAAAGATTAAAAAGCAAAATATCAATTACAATATGTGAGAATAAGTTAAAAAAAAGAAGAAGGGAAAAGGCAGTATAAAAATATATAGAAATTTAGTAACCATCAACCTTAGGGTAAGAATTAATAAATATTAATTTTTATTAAAAAATGTATTAAAAATATGTTAAAATTTATGAAAATATATTATTGTATTATAATTTTTAACTAATTTCTAAAATATTGATTCACATTTGTCAAAGATATATATACACTAAAAGAATAAGATATATAAGATACCAATGCATTCACATTCGATAATCACATGTTGCAGCAGTCTGCAGTCTCAATGAAGAAAAACAGCAAAGAATTTAAGGGTGCAAAAAAACTTTAAAATATATTTTTCTTAAAAAAAATATTATTTTTATTAAAAAATAAAAAATTAATAATAAATATATATTTAATTACATTAAATTTTATAATTCTTATTAAAAATTTATTATATATACCTTTTATTTTGTGCAATGTTGTACGTATTGAAACAAAATAATTTTTAAAATGTAAATTAATAAAACTGATAAATAAAAGTAAA